AAAAATGAGTACTTCCTAGGGCTAAGCACAATTCTTACCCCTTTTTATGTATTACTCATTTTATGTACTCATTTAATCCTCTAACAACCTTATAGGTAGACACTCATACCTAAATTTTACAGATGAGAAAACTGAAATACAGAGAAGTAACTGCCCAAGATTATACTACATGGCAGCAGAGGAGCAGAACTAGGAACTGAATGCAAGTAATCTGGCTTCAGAGTCCAGTTGATTCAGAAAAAAATAATAAAATCCAATACAATTCATGATATAAAACTCTGAAAGAACTAGAAGGAGAAGAGAACTTTAAACATCCAGCAACAACATCATACTAAGCTTCAGTGCTACAGAACTATTCTCAGACAAGTCAGGAACAAAACAAGAATGCCCATCATCAGCACCACTGTTCTTCACTGTACTGGGGGTCCTGGCCAGTGAAATTAGACACAAGCAAAAGAATAACAGATATGAAGATCAGAAGGAAAAGAAAAAAATCATTTCTTGAAAATTATTTAATTATGTAAGTGAAAATATATTATTATTTATGAAGTAATAACTAGCTGGTTAGAAAATAGGAAACAAAGAGAAATTATTCACAGTAGTAACAAAAATTATCAGGACCTAGAAGTAAGTGAAACAAAATATGTACAAGTCCTTTATATCATATCATTGAAGGTCACAAAAAGGGCATGTGAGATAAATGAAAAAATGGAATATTGCAAATATCCCTTTTTTCTCATATTAATCTATAAATTCAAAGCCATTTCTATAAAAATCCCAACAGGACTTTTTGGGAAACTTTATAAGTAGGTCCTAAAACTCATATGGACTAGAAAAGATCCCAAAATAGCCAAACGATTAACAAGAAAAAAGAAGGTTTGTGCCCTATGGCATATCAAAATCATTATAGGGTTATCTTAGGAAGATTTGCTCAGGCAATATGGAAAGCTAGATATTCTAAATCAAACAAAACCTTGTAATACTTGCAGAGCTCTAAGGAATACTGGAAAAACATCCTTTACAATGTCAGATATTTGTAATTTTTCATGCCATCAAACTATGAAAAGTCTTAATTTCAATAGATGCAGAAAAATCATTTGACAAATTAAAAATCCAGTATACATACATATATACTAGCTCTGTCCCCAGAGGGCCAAGAAATAGTAACAGCTCAGTAGCAGCAAGGACACCTAAGCACACAGATCTTGGTTTCTAATACCATCCTCCAGTAAAAGGAATCAAGACATTTTGGAGAAATGGCTGATTCTAAGGCTGAGGAAGGGAAAATACTAAATGAGCCTGGAGCATCTCATAGTGCCAGACAGTAAGGAAATGGTAAACAATTAACTTTTTTTTAATGGGGACATTTCAAAAGGACAAAAGAGCTAACCTGAAAAAAGTCCCAATGCCAAAGCCAGAACAGTTTAAGCAATATAAAAATGGTATTAGATTATAGCTCAAAGATTAAAATAAACATCCATGAATATACATGGATATAAATAGCTGACTGAATAATAAGTCAATGGGAGAAAAGGGACCAATCTTACTCAGAGAAGAATTCCTTTTAATAAATCAAACAAGAAAGAAAATGGAAAATCACCATTCGAATACCACAATAATAATTACTACAGGCAAGATCCATTGAACACTAAAATTATTGGGCAAAACGTTAAAGAGAAATAGAATATTTGTACTACCTCAAAATATTAATCACTGTTGTGGTTTTAACATATGTCCACAAATTATTTGATACCCTTCCCTTTTCTTGACCGTGGACTTTCTCCTAACAAATAGACTATGGAAAGCGGAAAAAAGTAATGTGACAATAAGAAACCCCTTGGCAGACCCCATCTTCCCATGTGATGAAAGTTCTCATTATTAGTTGATTTGGCCATCATATGCTGCTATAAGTGATGCAATGGGAAGGGCACAACAGCTCTGTAATATTCTTCTCTCAAAATCCATAATCTCAGTCTAATTCTGAGAAAATATCAGATAAATCCAAATTAAGGTGCATTTTTTTTTAGGTGGAGTCTCATACCCTGTTACCAGGCTGGAATGCAGTGTCATGATCTCGACTCACTGCAGCCTCATGAGTTCAACTGATTTTCCTGCCTTAGCTTCCCGAGTAGCTGGTACTACAGATGTGCACTTCCACGCCCAGCTAATTTTTGTATTTTTAGTAGAGACGAAATTTCACTATGTTGGCCAGGATGGTCCCAATCTCTTGACCTCGTGATCTGCCCTCCTCAGCCTCCCAAAGTGCTGGGATTACAGGCATGAGCCACCACACCCACCCTGAGGTGCATTTTACAAAACACTTGACTCTTCTAAAGTGACAATATATGAAAGACTAAGAAACTGTCACAGGTCGGAGTAAACGAGGAAGACATGAAAACCAAATGCCATGTGGTATATGGGTTAGATCCTGAAATAAAAAAAGAACATTAGAGGGGAAAAGTGTGGTAATCTGAATAAAGTCTATAGTTTCATTAACACTATTGTGCCAATGTCAATTTCTTAACTTTCGTACTTTACAAGGGTTATGTAAGATGTTAACATGAGAGGAAACTGGGTGAAGGGTATACAAAAACACTACACTATCTTTGCAATTCTTGTAAACCTAAAATTATTTCAGAATGTAATAAATTTGAAAATTCAGTACTTATTTGTGAAAGCAATTCTCAATGAACTAGAAACAGAAGAAAATTTCCTCAATCTGGTAAAGAGCATCTACAAAAAAAAGTACAGTAATCATTACCCTTAATAGTGAAATGTTGAGGTATTCTCCCCTTAAGATGAGGAAAAAGTAAGGATATCCATTGTTAATACTTCTGTTAAATATTGTTCTAGAGGTCCCAGCTAGTGCAATAAGGCAAGAAAAGGAGAAAAAGAGAATAGAGATTGTAAAGGAATATTTAAACTTTTTTCCACAAGACATGACAGCGCATTCTAAGAAAACAAACAAACAAAAAACCCAAATCTGCATACTCTCAGAACTATAAGTAAATTTAGCAAAGGCACAAAATACAAGATCAATATATCAATATCAATTTTATTTCTCTACGCTAGCAAGATGTTTGGAAAATAAAACAGGGGGAAAAAAACTCCACCATTTACAACAGCATCACAAAAACATTAAATGCCTAGAAATAAATTAAACAATGTGTAAGTCCTCTACACCAAAAATACAAAACAGTGTATTCTATTTGTATTGTGGGAAGACTTTTTTAAAAAATGGGCATTGATAAGCACATTCTGAAATTTATATGGAAATGCAAAGCATTTCAATAGTCAAAACAGTTGTTTTAGAACAAATCTGGAGGCTTTACAGTACCATGTCAAGACTTGCCATAAACTACAGTAATTAAAAAAGTATAGGTGATACAAGAATGGATGATTAGTCCAAGTAGAACAGAATAGAGTCCAGAAACAGACCCAAATATATGACCATTCATTTCTCAACAAAGTCCCCATGCAATTCAATGGGAAAAGAATGGTGTTTTTTTTTTCAATTAATGTGTAGAGTAGATGAATGTCCATATAGAACATAAATCTTGATCCCTACCTCACATCATATATAAAATCAACTGGTGATAATCACAGACCCAACAGCTAAAACTGTGAAGCTTCTGGAGGAAAACAAAGGCAAATGTCTTCAAAACCTTGAGAGTGGGCAAATATGTGGGTGGGAAGAAAATTTTATAGGTAGGATGCAAAAAAGCACTAACTTCCACTCCCTTCCCCTTTTGCCTACTCCCAAATCCTGATAAACCAAACTTCATAGGAATGATTCTGCTCCTCAAAAGGTAATATTAAGAGAATAAATGGGCAAACTTCAGGGTAGAAAATACTTGCAAACATGTACCCAACAAAGGTTTCCTATCCAGATTAGATTAGGAACTAAAAATCATTACCAAAAAGATAACCTAATTTTTTTTAAATGGGCAAAATATAAGCATGCAACAAAAGAAATCTAAATGGCCGATTGAGATATTTTAAGATGTTCAACATTATTAATGTTTATGGAAACACAACCAACCTATCAAAGATTATCAATTCAACTCCTTGGTATATAGCTGAGAGATATATGTTTACCAATGAAAGTTTGAAGAACATTCATCACAATTTAATTCTTAACAGCTCAAAAATGAAAACAACTCAAATGTTAACCAACAAGAAAATGAATAAGTAAACTGCTTGTATTATATATCCACATAATGCAATATCATAGAAGAGGGGTCAACAAATCTTTTTCTGTAAATGGTCACGTGGTAAATAGTTAAGGCTTTGCGGGCCACATGGCCTCTGCAATAACTACTCAACTCTGCCAAACAGGCATAGCTATGTTCCAATAATTTCTTTTTTAAAGATGGGGTCATCTCACTCTGTCACCCAGGCTGCAGGGCTGTGCCATTATAGTTCCCTGTAAGCTCAAACTCCTGAGCTCAAGAGATTCTCCTGCCTCAAGCTCTTGAGTGGCTAGGATTATAGACAGGAGGCATGGAACCAAGCCCAGTAAAATTTTATACACAAAAACATGCATTGGGTTGGAAGTGGCCCATAGGCCATAGTTTGCCAATCCTTGATATAAAGCAAAAATAAAAACAAATAAAAATACATATATATGCAACATGGATGGATACAATGTGAACAAAAGAATAAACTGTATGACTCCATTTATATGAAGTATAAGAACACTTGAAAATAATCCATGGTCATAGATATCAGGACAATAGTTGACTGGGGGAAGCAAGTGGCTTCATTGTTAGGAAGAGGCAGAAGGAATGAAAATGTTTTATATGTTTATCCGGGTGGTAATCACAAAGGTAAATACATACGTAAATTTCATCAAGCTACACACTTTATTTTTGTTGTTGTACATAAATTATACCTCATTTAAAGAAAAAAGACTTATACAAAGATCAGAATATAGAACTAAAACAGTTATCTAGACTTCAACATGGATAAAAAATATATATGAACTACATTAAACCTACCTTAAAAGATGTGGGTGATAGAGTAAGGAAGTCTAACAGAAGTCTAATCGTAACTCCTAAAGAAAAGAATAGGACAAAAATGGGTGAAAACAAAGAAATAAAGATAAAACGTTCGAGAATTGATGAAACATAAACCTTAGAGAGGGTATTTTATTTGTATATATAAATTTATATGAATATATTTAATTTCTATGTAAACTCTACAGTGAGATTATACATATAATCTATAAAGAAAGTATATGTATACATATTACACATATACACACACTATATACCTTGCCCCAAAAGTCTCTGAGTACAAATTATTCTTGATGATACATGCAACAGTTAAAACCATAAAGCAATTCTAGAATTTCAAAGAATTGGTAGCATTGACATGCATGCTGACTACAGTGCAAATGAGAAATCAGTAACAAAAGGATAACTCACAAAACCTTCCACATTGGAACTAGACTACTTTCTAAAAATCTCTTAGGGGAAGAAAAAATATCACAATGAAAACATTTTAAATTCTTAGAACTGAACAATGTATTACATATAAAGCAACAGTAAATGAAGATCTGCAGTATTTTCAAATGAGGAATAAACCAGGACAAAGAGCCTGGAAATAAGCCCAAGCATATCTGGGTACTGTATGTGACAGAAGTGGCACTGCTAATCACTGATATTGAGACAATTAGCTTTCCACATGGGAATCTGAAAATGAATTAAGCTCAATCTCACAACATAAACAAAATATATACATCTAAACATGTACATATCTCAGGTAACAAAGAACGAAATGTGGACAAAACAAAAAATCTTAGAAAAATATTCAGAATATATTTCATTAATAGCAGAGAAGTATATCTTAAGACAAAAAGCACAAAGTTTACTTTGTGTCCATAGTTTACTACCTGCAAATATATAACCAACAAATATGTATATTCAGAATGATTTCCAATAGAAATTTCTGCAGTGATGGAAATATTCTGTTGTATAATATGGCATAATGTAAAATATATAACATAATAAAATATAAAAGTCGTATGTGACTACTGAGCACTAGGAACGTGGTCTAGAAAAATGAAAGAACAAAAATTACTGAGGTAAATATAGTAATGTTAGCATTTGAAAACTCTTAAAATCTGTAAAGTTCTGTGACTTTTTAATATACTTTTTAGTGTTTCACTTTTCGCAACAGAATTTGATTTTAGCTTAAATTACTATATAAAATATTCTGGTTGTGTACAAAATATGTAAATGTGACTTTGGGAGTGCAAACATACCAAATGACATTTTCTTCTAAATACTTTTTGAAATATTATAAATTAAGTTATAAGAACATATAAAGAATAATTTAACAAATTCTGATATGTCCACCATGGAATTTATGAAATAAAACATTACCGACAAGTTCCCTAGGTACTCCTCCCTGAGCAAGATTTTTATATATATATATATATATATATATATATAAAAAGAAGGCAGGAAATATGAATAACAGACATAGAGCTCTAGTCTCAGGCTTCTTCATTTTGTGACACCCATATTTTAATATTTGGGGGGATATGTGACATTCTAACCTAGTGTGTATCATTTAACAAAGAGTTACAAAGTAAACACCCATGTAACCGTTGCCCAGGTCAGGCGAAAAAGCATTTCCAGCATCTCTGAGCCCTTGACCTTCTCCTCACCGCCAGGAGATGACCATTAGCTTGACTTTTTTTCTTTACTACGTTTAATGCCTGTATGTGCATTCCTAAACAATAGCTTTGCTCCACCACGTTCTGAATTTTACATAGATGATATCACATCACATTCTTCAGCAACTTTTTTTTTTTTTTTGATTCAACACTGAAAGGCATTTGTGTTGAAACACAAAAATACTTCGTTGGCCACTGTACAGTGTGCCCTTTTTATGACTGGTGTATCACGTATCTTTCTCCTTCAGGTGGGCATGATGGCGGCTTCCAGTTTTCTGGTTTTACAATCAACCTTCTTGTACACGTCTGTTTGTTGGCATGTATGAAAATGTATCTAGGGCAGTGGCTTTCAAACTTTTTTGACCGTGACTCATACTAAAGAATGACGTTTTACATCATGACACACATTTGTGTATGTATGAAACTGAGGAGGGGGAGAGATTCATAAAGAAAATACCCTATGACCTGAGAGACGCAGATGTTTGATTCTCCGTCTGTGTTTTACAAATTCTCATCATCCACTTAAATGACTTTACGACCCATTAAAATGAACTTCAAGTTCTGAAAAACATTGTTCTAAAGGATGAACACCCAGACTTGCGACTGCTGGATCAGGAAACACCGATATCGGATGTCGTCAACTTTTCCAGATCCTTAACTGTTAAACGTTCTTATCTAAGCATATATAAATTTACCACTATTTAACTTCAGAGCGAAGAGCGTGAAACATCAGAGAACATTTTATCTTTTCCCTCGGCCATTAAACAATATTAATCACTTACCATGTGCTAAGGAAGCAACCTCTGGGCCCAGCGAGACCGATGGGTTAATACGTGGAGGGGCTATGGGGGAGGATTTAGGGGACCAGGACCTCAGTGAGGCCCCAGAAAGCACCCGGGAGGGGCCTCCGACCCTGCCTGGGAGGGAGGGGTTAGAGGAGGATTCCTGGAAGAAGGAGGACCTAAGCTGGTTGTTTCTATTTTTGATTTTTATTCGTTTCCTAAAACATGAAAGTAACACATTTTATGAAAACGAAATATTCAAATTACAGGAGCACATTCAGTAAAAGGTAGAAACCCCTACTCCACCCTGAAAGTTGGATGCGGAGAGTAACCGAAGTTGCATCATCGGCTGTCCCGATCTAGGAAATGTTTAGGAGCCCACATTTTAAAACACTTTTAAGAGTATGTCCGATTACAGTCGATAATACCAAAGCATCAAAATAATCATATTTTCCATAATAAACGAAAGTGCAAACAGTTACTGTCTAGTCCCACTATTACTTTCAACAGACTTTTGCTTCTTTTCCTTGTTCTGTTTTTTTCCCGGCCCGCTGGCGAGGCTAGAACACCAGGTTGTAAGAACCGGGTGTACGGACCGCATACCAGACACGCGCCAACCCTCCAGCAGCGGTGCCCCGGGGGGCGGCGGGACTTGCGGTGGGACACTCTGGGTTGCGGGTGACGATCGGCGGGGTCCCGTACCCAGCCCCGCGGAGCCCTGACCCACACGTAGGCAGCGCGGCAAAGGCACACCCTCTCCGCGGCCGCGAGCCCAGCGCCGTCCTTGCAGCGCCGCGCGGCAACGCTGGCCACCGCCACCTCCTGCCCGCCCGCCGCGGCCGCGAGCACCCGGCCACCTACCCTGCGGGCGACGACCCTCGGAGCTCAGGCGAGGCTGTTCCAGCGCGCTGCCTCCGCGGCCATGACGGACCCGGGGAAGTGCCCCGCGCGCCGAGGCCCCGCGCTGCTGCTGGGCTGCGAGCACCGCTGCCCTGTCTGTCTGTCCAGCGCCCGCCGCGAGAGTGAGTCCAGAGCACACCCCGGCCGTGTCTAAATCAAGGCTCGGGGCGGTACCGACGGGCTGAATGACAAATGGCAGATGCCGTGGGCTTTGCCGCCCGCGGCAGCCAAGAGGATGGCTGCGACGAGGAGGCCGCGCAGGCGGGGCGGGGAGCCGGAACGGCGCGGCCTTGAGGAGGGCGCTGGGGCCCCTCGCGGGGGCGTCACGTGGCAGGAGGAGGCCCCACCGGGGAGCCGGGGGTCGGCGGCTGGCACGGGGGGAGCGGACCAGCACCCACAGGCCCGGCCGGCCGGGTCACCAAAGCCAAGGTCGCCCAGGTACGGCGCTGGCGCAGGTAGACCCGAGCCAGCCTGGGGCCGCGGCGGAGCCTGCCCGCCGGAATCTCCGCCAGGATGGGCCGCCCCAACCCAGGCACACACACGAGAAACGCCACAGACGCGGGGACGCGGCCTTAGGCCAAAGTAACTTACCCCGTGCCGGCAGCGCCCAAGTGTGGTTGCCCCAAACGTGAGCACTGACCGTGCGCCACGCACTGTCCTAAGCACTTCGCAGGTAAATACGTGTAATCCTTACGGCAGCGCTGGGAGAAACACCCGCCTCGCAGCTGAAGAAACGAAGACGCAGAAAGGGGAGACAGAAGTAATTTTATGATTATAGGATCATACATCTGCCGCATATAATTTCAAATTTTTCAGTGTTATTGGAATTTCCAAAAAATACAGAAGGGAATCTCTTTTGCTTTCTTCCCTGCAAGACGAGCTTTTTTAAAGGCCTATAAACATAACATAAAAAGGTCGAGAGGTATAAGAAGTTCACTATGTGTTTCAGGTTTAGACAGACTCACAGCTCTGAAAGATGAGGTTAATTAGCATCATGCACCTCCACCCACCTTCACCCCTGCCTCTCAATTTCGATTACTTCTATTATATTTGGCGTACTAGCCATGAGAACATTTGCAATTGCTCTGCAATTTTTATTTTTCCAGATGTTGTTTTAATTCTATCTATAAATGAATATGATATTCACTGTCACTTGTCCATCCCTGAATTTTTATTTTTATTTAAAGTTCTTGATGGCCTTTTTTCTTTTTCAAGTCATATTCCCAACCAGGGTTTATAGAGTGCTGCCATGTTTGAGAAGATCTGGGTTTTTTTCTCTCTACATAAATAAAAACTGAGCTGGGTAAATATTTTGAATCCACACCATCCTTCAAAACCTAACACAACAAGACGGCAATTGCTTCACTGATTTTTTTTTTTTAATTGTTATACTTTAAGTTCTGGGATACATGTGTAGAACGTACAGGTTTATTACATAGGTACACGTGCCATGGTGGTTTGCTGCACCCATCAACCCGTCACCCACATTAGGTATTTCTCCTAATGCTGTCTCTCCCTTAGCCTCCCACCCCCTCCAGACCCTGGTGTGTAACATTCCCCTCCCTGTGTCCATGTGTTTTCATTGTTTAACTCCCACTTTGAGTTAGAACATGTGGTGCTTTGTTTTCTGTTCCTGTATTAGTTTGCTGAGAATAATGGTTTCCAGCTTCATCCATGTACCTGCAAAGGATATGAACTCATCTTTTTTATGGTTGCATAGTATTCCATGGTGTATATGTGCCACATTTTCCTTGTCCAGTCTATCATTGATGTGCATTTTGATTGGTTCCAAGTCCTTGCTATTGTGAATAGGGCTGCAATAAACATACGTGTGCATGTGTCTTCATAGTAGAATGATTTATAATCCTTTGGGTATATACCCAGTAATGCGATTGCTGAGTCAAATGGTATTTCGGATTCTAGATCCTTGAGGAATTGCCACATTGCCTTCCACAATGGTTGAACTAATTTACACTCCCACCAACAGTGTAAAAGTGTGCCCATTTTTCCACATTGTCTCCAGCAACTGCTGTTTCCTGACTTTTTAAGATTACCATTCTAACTGGTGTGAGATGGTATCTGATAAGCAAATTCAGCAAAGTCTCAGGATACAAAATCAATGTGCAAAAATCATAAGCATTCATATACACCAATAACAGACTAACAGAGAGCCAAATCAAGAGTGAACTCCCATTCACAATTGCTACAAAGAGAATAAAATACCTAGGAATACAACTTACAAGGGATGTGAAGGACCTTTTAAGGAGAACTACAAACTACTGTTTAAGGAAATAAGAGAGGACACAAACAAATGGAAAAACATTCCATGCTCATGGATTTTTCTGCTTGGATGCCTGAAGAATTCTTTATCATTAATGTACCCTTTAATAGTCATACCTGGGCTATGTCTCTGTGTCAGTTACTCTAGATCAATTTTTCTCCTCAGCATACAGTATGATCTTCCAGTATATAGATTCTGTTCTTTTTTCCTAATATCCCATTCATATTCTATATCTGAGTAAGCTGCATTTTCAGGGCTGAGTGTTGTTTCTATCTACTTTTTCTGTGAACCGAAGTTTTCCGGACAAGGAGAGGTCGGAGGACAGGAGGCGTGTGGAACTCAGCTTAGACCGAGCATAAAGCTTGTTGGGGTAACTCGACCTTCACAACTGAGATCCCTTTAAGTCCTCTGGCAGCTGGCCTGCAAGCTAGCCAAGGGAATATCCCATGCCTCAGAGCTTGGTTCATTTGCTCAGTTCAGCACAGCACCCCAGAAGGCGGCAAACTTTCCTGCCTCTGGCAAGATCCAACAGTGGTATGCAAAGGTTCCTTAACATTTCACAAGTGTGCCACTGGCTTTCCACATTGGAGGACATTTGTGAGAATTCTCAGGATTTGGTCTGATCATCTTTTCCCACAACGTGTATTGCCGTGGTGGGTGAAGGTCTGGGCAGACACAGGTTCACCTAGAGACAAAGCATACTTTCAAAGAGTCTTCTGTTCTTTTTTCTCTTGCCATCAATTCTCAAATTTTACATTATAAGGGTGTACTTTTTTCTTTCTTTGGTTGCAGCATTTAAGTTTTTTGTTGCTTTTTTTCCTTTGGGTGATTTAGTGTTTTGTTTTTGAGACATTGTCTCGCTCGGTCACCCAGGCTGGAGTGCAGTGGTGTGATCTGGCTCACAACAACCTCTGCCTCCCAGGTTCAAGCAATTCTCCTGTCTCAGCCTCCTGAGTAGCTAGGACTACAGGCATGTGCCACCATGCCTGGCTAATTTTTGTATTTTTAGTAGAGGCTGGGGTGGGAGCAGTGAAGGGAAGTTCCCCATGTTGGCCAGGCTGGTCTTGAACTCCTGACCTCCAGTGATCCACACACCGCAGACTCCCAAAGTGCTGGGATTTCAGGCGTGAGCCACCATGGTTGGCTAATTTAATGCTTTAATTTTGATTTTTTAGTGCTTCCTTGTGCCGTCTTTATCCAGAAGTCAGTCAAGCAGTCGTTCTCACTGGTAATGAAGTAGATGAAATCCTTTTTTATCCTTAGGTTACTTCCACAGTGGTCTCTTTGAGCATGACTGTGTTGACCGGGTAGCTGTGATACACTGTTTTCCCCCTAAGCTTTCCCTCAATGTCACATGCTTTGGCATTACAACATGCCCAGTCAAGGTTCCAGAGGAGGGTTTGCAAACTCAGATGTCTACAAAGTGTAAAACAACGAGGAAAAATGGGACTGTGATAAAGTGAAAAGGACATTCTTTGTGTAAGGGGCAGATAATGGCTGTCATGTTGGAATTCAGGGCAAGGTTGCCACATCTGCATCATTTTCAAGGGCAGTATGCTATCTAACATTTTAATGTAAAATCTCCTACTTTTGGAAACACAGCAGAGGCCACATGAAGGATTTCTCCAGGTCAAACTATTTCTCCAAGGGTTTCCAGCGTGGTCCCTGTTGTGCAGAAAACCCCTTGGGACAAATTCTATAATCACACTTTTTCTCTAAATATTTGGAGACTCTATTTTATTCTTCAGGCTCTTGAATGACTTCTTAAAATTTCCTTAGCAAATGCAGAACAAGAAAATTCATGCTGACACATCTGTAAGTTGATACAATGTGTCAGGACCCAGCACTTTCAGGAACAGGTGTTACCAGGGGTAACAGCGATGATGGGGCTACAATTAATACCACGTGAGCAGACAGTCACAGATTATGCCCACATTAACAAAATAATGAGGGGGGAATGTTATTTTCAATTGACGCAAAAAAAAAAAAAAAAAAAGCATTTGACAGCTACACCCCTTCCTGAAATAACGACAACTAGGAATGGCATGGAACTTCCTCAGCCTGATAGTGGCTGTATTTTTTCCTATCGCTGCCATAACAAATTACCACAAACTGGTGGCATAAAACATGAAATGTTTTTTCTGAGTCCTAGAGGCCAGAAGTCTGAAATCAAGATATTAGCAAAGGCCGCTTGCGCCCTCTAGTGGCTCTAGTGGAGATTCCTTCTTCACTTCCAGCTTTTGGTGGCAGTTGGCATTCCCTGGCTTCCTCGGCTTCCTTGGCTTGCAGCCACAGCATGCCAATCAATCTCTGCCTCCGTCTTCACAAGGCCTTCTCTGTGCGTGTCATGTGCTTTCTCCTGCGTGTGTCTGTCTTACAGGGATAGATGTCACTGTACTTAGGAGTCACTGAAATAACTTAGGGTGGTCTCCTCATTTCAACTTAGTTGCACCTGCAAAGACTTTTATTAAACGCAGCTTACATTCTGAGATTCAAGAGATTAGGACACAGACAAATATTTTTGAGGGTCATCATTCAATCCTCATGTTAAAGTAGACATGCGCAAAATTCATGTCAGCTTTGCTGTAGAAATTAACAAGCTGATTTTAAACGTTATATGGAAATGAAAAGAACTAGAAGAGAAAAAATAATCTTAAAAAGAAAAAGTTGGAAGGCTTATGCTATCTGAATTTTAGGCCTACTATAAAGCTAGACTAATCAAGACAATAGGGTACTGGCTGGGCATGGTGGCTTACCTGTATTCCCAGCATTTTGGGAGGATGAGGCAGGCAGATCACTTGAGGTCAGGAGTTTGAGACCA